TTACTAATTTGCACTCCATATACTTTGTCTTAGTCTGACTAATAAACTCATAAATTGAAAAGTACCATTTTTCCCAACCACCAAGAATTTCTCCAGAAGCTCAGCAACAATAATTTCTCAAATTAGATATTGCAACAAAACAAACAAAAAATAGATAGTGTACTTAAAGAAAGCATTTTCAAACTTTGAAGTGCATAAACGATGAAGTATAGAAAGACAAATAGAGAAAGAGGACGGGGAGAGAGAGAGAGAGAGAGAGAGAGAATAAGAATGAAGATGGCTTAGCCAAAAAATGCAACAGATAGTTTCGCCCAAGTTGCCAAAATACAGAAAGTAGGTTGGCGCTAAGATACGAGAAGGGATTTTAAGAATTCCAAGAGAGAGGGAGAGAGGGAGATAGAGAGAGAGATACAGAAAGAGAGGAGAGGGTCTCTGCTGCACAGGAGGGGGAGAGAGAAAAGAGAGAGAGCTGGCAGATGAGAGAGGGAGTGAGACACAAAAAAAAAACTTGACGGAGAAGCTGAATCCCGCAAAATTCAACTATAAGTTGAATTTTTTGGGATTCAGATATTTAGAGGTTATTGGATATTTCAAAATACGATTTGACCCTATCAAACATGGCACATAAACTAATGGACCCGGTTTTTATGGGTCTAGGCGCGTACCTATTGTGTTGCAGGCCCTAAGATCTAGGATGTCGATATGGAGAAAGTAGATTATTTCTCGATTTTCCAAATGGGTTAACTGATTAACGGGAACCCCAGGTTAACATGGGGCAAGTTGTCTTCAAAGGCAACCAAAAAAAAACAAAAAGGACGGTGAGTTGGTGCATTTTCTGCCATGCATCCAAAAAAAGCTCTTGAAATGCTTATACAGCCATAACTCTCTCTCCCCCATAGTATTTCCTTTTGAATTCATGGCGATGCCAGCCTAGTTAATCGTCTGCTCCACTCTCATGTCCATAAAACCATCACTATCGTCGGAAAAGCAAGATTCTCCAACCTCCTCTTCCCCCTCGAGTCCAGCTCCAAAAACCCTAGCTCTACTGAAGCCTCACTCGACTCTAAAACCAGCCTCCAATCCATCGGAAACCTTTATAGCCTACCCTCTGTCCCCTCCTTACAATTAAAATCGTTGGAAAATCTACCCCTTGTAAATTTCTATCTAATCTTCTTTCAAATTTGAGTTCTAGCGTAATCCAGGCCCTCCATCGAGCCGGGAAACTCCCCTACACTAGTTCTTTTGGCAACCAGATCCAAGCCCTTGATAAACACATTCTGGCTCTTGTTTTGACCCTAGGAAACACTAACCCTTGTGGGAAACATCATGGCACCATGAAATCACCGGCCATTGATGGTGGGCATGTCTTCAATGCTTTCCAAGACTCAAAGATAAGGGTTTTTCAACCTCACTAACCCCAAGCAAAGTTGATAACCTAGATCCTTGATCCGTTTCATTTGGCCCCAAAATTATATATCTTCTAAAGTCAGTCATCATGTTCAAGGTCTTTATGCGCATCTTGGCCTAAGTTGGTTCTGTTTGTGTTAAAGCTCGTTGAGACCCCTTTTTTTTTTATGGGTCCTCCGGATAAAACTTTGCCCTCTCTTCGTTTGGCATCTCAAAGAATTCTTGCCTCATGGAGCATGCTTTACATCAAGTCCTCTGACACGCCACGGCTCACGATCTGTTCAAAGAGATAGTGAAAAAAACAAGCTAAATTAAGTCCTTTTGCTTAATGGAATTTCTAGAAAGGAGGCAGATTAGGAGAACCTGATGACATGAAGAGAGAGATTTCTGAAGGAGGGCAGAGAAGGCAATCTATTTGGAGAGAGAGAGAGAGAGAGAGAATTAAGCGGTGTTTCCAGTGTTTTGAGAACGTTTACATGCATTTGTCCTCTAGCGGCCATGGGAGGGTTGCTACGAGAGTTGTAGGGAAGAGACTTCGTGGGTTCTAGAGAGAGAAAACGAGCAAGAAGTTGAGGGTTTTCCTAATTTTTTTATTTCGTACTTTTTGGGGATAAGGAGAGGTGAGAGGGGGACTGGGGCGGCCTATTACGGGTTCCCCTTAGTCAATACTTGGGGCAAATCTACACCGTTAAATTCTGTGGATAGTGCGGATTTTAGGGCGCACGCCTTTACAGTAGCAGGCCCTGACGCACCAAAAACTTTTCCTAAACATTAAGATTACAATAGATTCTTTACTATCTTAAAATATTATGATAGTGTGGTGCAATCAAACATACTCTAAACCATTATCCATTTTTATCACCAAGGGACCAAGAAAGTTTGGTCCTGTTTTTTGGTTTTTTTGTGTGCACGTATGTAGGGTTTTCTTTTCTTTTGTTTTTGATTTTTTCGTGTGAGGGGGGGGGGGGAAGGAATGTTGTGATCAGTTATGTACTCCCCTCCCTCCCCCTCTTTTTACTCTCTCTCTCTCTCAATAACATTTTTACCCTGCTCCTAGTCACAATTTATGCCAATAAGAATGGTCTGCATATGCAGCAGCATCACATGGAATGAAAGGTCCACATATGCGGGCTATGCCCCTCCTAGCAATCGCATCTTGTGTGCCCGCCTAGACGAGCTGATGAAATGCAGCCTTGTGAAGTGGGTACATAATGCATTTTGCAGGCCACATCAGAAAACAATGCTAGCCACATAATAAGGTTTCCATATTTGAATTTACAGGGCTTCGACAGGAATCCATTCTTGTATATGTAATTAGAAACTATTTTATTTGTGCTTTTCTTTAACCAGTGGACTTCAGTTATTCTTGCTTCTCTTTAATATTTCAAAGGCATCTAGTTATGTGTATTCCTTTCGTGTTTCTATGTACATTCATCATATGGGAATGCTAATCTACTCTAGTATCTCATAACTGGCTATATCTATTTTCAACTGGTACAAAACAGAGGAACTCACAGCATTGATTCATATTATGAAGAATTAATCAGCTGACAAGTTCAAGGTCCACCATCCCCGCTACAATAAATTGCTTGAGTCCATGCTAAAAACAAGATTATGTGATATAATACTGTATATATCCTGGACAATTAGAGTTGTTTGAATATCAGTTAAATCCAAGCACATATAACATCTTCTTCCCACTTGGGGAACTTTCTTTAGGTCAAATTTTTTATGCATCAAAGAACATACAAGCTTCATTAGAGAGGTTGGTTCTTGTCTTGATGGGCTCAGACAAACATTGTAAGGCCCTTTCTGAAGTTTCAAATCCTTCCGTTTACCCATTTGGAGATGCATTCATACTTTTTGGTTCATTTTCATGCAAGAAACTGTCAGTAGTTTTCTTTTTCTTTTTCTTCGTCTTCTTCTTTTTGTCTTTTTTTTTTTTTGGGGGGGGGCGGTGGTGTTAAAGAGGAACAATCGGTAAATTTCCAGGCAGTTTTCTACTTGGTATTGTTTCAATGGCTACTTTCTAAAAATCAATCAGCCAAAGCCATTAATATGAAATTTTCGACAATTTATCTTTCGACAAAAGATTAAATAGATAATTTAGCAGACTGTCGTGCTAAAGGAGGATGCAGCTATCCTCATGAACTTTCAAGAATCATGTTCAGGCATAAGCAAAGCATGATCATCTTGAAGAGGTGATAACTACTGGGGTATTTTTCAAACTAAGTATCCAAACCAGCATCAAATTTCTAGACCATTCCGAATGTATACACAAATCAACTCATTTTATCCAAGTCAATTTAATACCAAAGAAACATCGCTTCACCAGATTCAAAAAAAATAGAACATGTATTAAGAAGCTGACGGTGCCAACTTTCATGAACATCGTTTACCAAAAAAATTGAACACAATGTGGAAGTATTAAAGCAAGGAGCCATAAGTGATGAAATTTATTCTAGTGCTCTAATATTGATCAGGATGAATTTGAATATTTCATCCCATGAATGATTGCAATCCATTGTTATCAAATGCGGCAGCATCAAGTACCCGATGGACCCAGCATGTGCAGGATTTGAGTGATGCACCCAATTATGTGGGTGCATCGTATCGCCGGCGACGCACACACATATGAGATTCCCTGCTCTTGGGCACAAATGTAGCCGCTAGCAGGGGCAATATGGTATACCCTCCTTTTCCCACTATATCCCACCACAAACACCTTAGAGCCATATTTACATGGCTTTAAAAGGATTTAAATTTAGAGAAGGAAATAATAATTTATTTTCTAAATCCGGATTTTTTGGAAAAAAATTAGGAGTCTTGTGGGCAATCATTTGAGTGTTTTGGGTATTGTTTTGAAGGTTCGGATGAGTATTGACCACGTATGACTCAAGTGATTGAGAGATTACAGTTCAGAAATACGAGTGTATGTATTATCGTTTCTATTTGATATGCCATGAAACTTGTAGTATATCGAGTTTACAGTTTGGAATTCAGGTGTTAATAATATGTACCTATGAATTGTGATATGAAGTAAGCTTTTTCTTTATATGTTCTGTCATGAGTCATGACTCATGACTATTCAGTATTTTGAGTTTTATTTATTTAATTTAACAAATGGGAAAGAATGGATTACTTTATTTTACGTATTAAATGTACTAGCCTCTGAGAAAATAATTAAGACAAACTATATCAGACAACTAATATATCAGAGATAAGTACCAAACCCCAATTTAGCATAAATCACACAGTTATGTCGTTTCATAAATTCTTATATTTTCATAAATTTTAAAAAAATTAATTTATTGACCACATCAGAGGTGATGAGTCCACATTGGGACCGCATTTTAGCCAAATAGGGTATTAGAGCCCCCATTGCATCAACTACATATCCCGCATTTGATAACATTGGTGCAATCGTTATTCATCTAGCCAAGAACATCACTACATATGAAAAGCAAAGAGCGTTCAAATCTGTCAAACTAAGGTGTCCTAATTTTGAAGTGATCAGGGCCTAACTGCTTCTAACCTATTAAACAAGACACATCCAGATATATCAAATAGAACCAAATAATCAGATGATATACCCATAGATTAGGGCAAGCAGAAACCTGAATGGCAGGAGGAAGTTCATCAACTACTTTATATGCATATCTCTCATCCAAAAGCAACAATCTGCTTGAACCTCTCCATCTCCTTCCCTTAAATTCTTCCCCGAGCAGTCCACTCATATCTTCATCATCAACACCGACACATCCTGAAACCTCCATGATATCATATGAATTCCTTGCCTTCCTCTCTCTAAAACTTTGTGAATGTAGCCCATTTTCTCTCTTCTTTGACTTCTTCGGCCTCGACATCTTTGCAAGGTTTCGAAACTGAACAAAACCCCTGCAATTGAAAGACTTCGCAAGCTTGTCTCTGTATAAAACAGGATCGAAACCACCACCTTCTGCTTTCCCATCAATTCTTCGGTTAATTATATCCAAACCGTCAGCATCCTTTATGTTCTCCCTCATTATTCTCCTTATTGAATCATCCATTTCGTCACCTGAAACTCTAGCAATGTTTTTAACACGAGGCCAGTTAAGCAAATGGCCTCTGAGACGGTTTTCCAGCGGAAAACAATCCTCAGCAGGCACGCGGAGAGCTGCAACATCAAAGACTCGAGTGAACATCCGTTCATCGATCTTTCCTAGGGTTAGGGTTTCTTCTGTTAAGCTCAATTGGGCCTGGAATGGTGTCTTGTGACCTTTGCTCAAAGAGGGGCCATATGAGAAGTCAGAATTCAGGGTAAGGGTTGAAGCCACCGTGGAGAAAGAGAAACCTTTGTGGCGAAGGGGTTTCGAGGGAGGGAATGGGAAGAGAAGTTTTAGAGCCATGAGGGTGTGCGCGAGTGAGAATTTTGAACTATTTGCAGCGGAACTGATAGGTTAATCCAGCGGGAAGTTACAAAAACATTTTGCTTTCAAGAAACAACTGCAATGGTTTTCTTAGAAGGGAAAAGCTTATATAAGGTTGCACATGTTGAAAAACCCTCTAATTAATCATCTTTAATAATGGTTAGTTAAAAAAAAAAAAAAAAGCTTTTTATTCCAAAAAAAATAATACATTTTGTAACACATTATCTAAACCATCCATTTTCAAGATTTTCATATGTTTATAAATCTACTTGATTTTAACCATTTTAAGAGTTGAAAATTTTCTAATTAGATATGAAAACTGCTTTTAAGATAAGGGTGCAGTTTGCACCGTCCATACATTTTGACGGCCATGATTGCATAGTAAATAAAAGGCCAAAACGGGTGATCGTCACTAGTCGGTTTTGCTTCCCTCGGCACGTCCCTCTACCACACCAGACTTGAGACTAGACGGGAGGAAGAGGAATTTAGAGAGAAAAAGAAGATAGGTGGATTGAAAGAGATAAGGAAGAGATGTCGAGGAATTTAGAGAGAGAGAAAAAGAGGAGAGTTCGGGTGAGTAGAGAGAGGAGGAACAAAAGTTCATACAGTAGGCTTTGGAGCCATGGGAGGAAGAGAAATTTAGAGAGAGAAATAGGGGAGAGATGGGGTGAGTAGAGAAAGAAGAGGAAGATCGGAGGCTTCGGAGTTATAGGGCATGCTTGAGCTGTAAGCAATGGTTTAAAAATCGGATCGGTGACCCGGATTGGGCTTTTCAAAAACCG